GCTACGAAATCAGTAAAATGTGCCACATCTACTGATGCGGTACAGTATAGCTATGCAAAATGTCTAACGTATATAGTAATTTATAATTATTATAATTATAATTAATCTGTGTACATATACAATTCTTTTTTCTATGTAGTGCTTTAAAGATGCTAAAATCAATTCGCATATCTTGCCAGCGCTGCAGTTTTGTTTTATAAACTTAGAAATCCTTAAAGACTATCTGATCAATTCAGTCCGATTTTGTGGTAAATCATTTATGTTGTTGATTGATAAATAATCCCTAATAATTATTATAACTGGTATACGCGTATATTATAGTGAATAATCGTTTTGCAAGTAGTCAGGATTACTAGGACTATTTGAGTAGCCCCTAATATTACTGTACTTAGTCAAAGTATTACAGCAAAGTTTAGCCAGTCACAGCCTAATCTTAAATTTGATAAGTGAAATGTTGTAACATACAATATCGAATAGAATAAATTTAGTTGTACTGGTATATCGTTCATTTCAACTCAAGATGAATAGGCTTCATTTAACTAGCTTTTTAACGATACTGTGTTCTACTCAGTAGACATACACGCGAAATATCACGATCTAAACCCAAAAAAGTAAATTTCATTAATTCAACTGTATTTCTTTTTAGATGATGATGGCTTTCTGATTATTTTCCTGCTTGTAGGAATTATTTTTACCAGCCAGAGAAGTTTAAGCGCTTTAGAACGCTGTGTACAGAATAATCCAACATTAAGCCATGCTTTAGTGCAAGAATGGAGCAAGCTACCAGCATTCTGCATTGGTTATGCGACTCAACAGAGAGGTCCTTTGATGTATCTAGTTCTTTTTATTATTTCTTTGGACTGTTTAGTTGCCTAGATTGCTACTTGTCTTGACTGCTGTAATTTAGCAGATAGACAATGCATAACTGTTTAAATAATGTGGATTACGACAGTGGATATAGAAGAAATTAACAGTTACTGTACTGTAGGACTTATATCGTATTTATCGATAAGATAATGAAATGGTGGTGTTTGTATGATATCTAAAGTAGAACACAATTACTGAATAATGCAGGGCTTAATTCTTGATTCTAAAATCAATGATATTGTATGTATTCTTTGCCCATTAATATTGGTGCGTATAACCAAGTAATTGAAACATAGAATTACTTGCCTGAATCTGATAGTAAACATGCACAATATTTATTTCTCGTTTGGTCATACAGCTTCCGAACTAGGGTTTAAGTGTGTTAGCAACTACTGTAAGAATTCTGAAAGTCTCGCCATGGTAATTACTGAATGTATGTATAAAGATAATTATAATCAAGCAGACTTGTTTACGAATATTTAAAATACGAAACGTAGCTGTTAAACGATCTATCAGATTTCAGGACAAGAGATGAAAGGAAACCATTGTTATTTCCCGGTGCAGAAAACAGAATGCAGAATATTTCTCTGGCTTTAAAGATAAATCGTTCGTTTAATACATCTACTATACTATGACATGATTCACATCTACAATATGTAACCGTAGACAGTAAATACTTCAATAATTATATTATTTACATATGTCTTGTACATATATGATGTCAGTAATCAGAACTCCTAATTAGCCAAAAAATAAGATAATGAAGCACATGAACATTTACTTTACTGCTTTGCATGTCATCCTGCATTGTGGTTGTAGTAATGATGAAGAGCAGAGGAATTTATGAATATTTATTACTAGCTTCTTAAGTTCTGCAGTTAATGGTAAATCTTGCTATTTTATCGCAATAGAAATTCGTTATGTAGTTATAGACGTTTACAAGTCGGTACCTAGAAATGACTTGGAGAAGGCAATCCGGCAATTTATATCACTGCAGGTGAATTATTCATTATAATTTTTGAAATTTTTTACCGTTCACTTATGTATATAATTAATGTTTTAATAGGTTTTCAGTAGCGTAGACAATAATGTTCTAACTTATGTAACTTTTCATCGATTTCTTAATTACAATATAGGGCATCCCTAGATGTATAATATTTTTTAGTCCTTCCGTTTTTATGGCGTGTATTAATATTTTAAAGGAGATTCAGATGATTCCTCCACGATGCCATGTAAGATGTACACTATATTTTCTTTAATTTGCTGGCTTAACATTCCGTTAAGCTATTTTAGTTAGCAAACAAATTAAAATTCGCTAAATAAAAGTATTATTGCGCGTATTGTACAACGAAGTTTGCCGCAATAGGACCTACAACCGCCAAGTCAATAACTGATCACGGCTACAACGTTGACTGTCACGCTAGGGAGCCTGATCCTGAAGGTTTATTGCAAGCTATCTCTAGATTTTTACAGTCTTCCGAAAAATGATTCTCCATGGATGTTACTAAGTGGTTAAAGCGATTAAAATTCTAGCATTCAACAATAAAAGATTTATTTAATATGTAGAAATTGCTTGAGCATCCTTAAACTAAATTTATTGCAACAACTAACTACAGTATCTTTATCGTGTATTAGCTGATTTTGCAAAAAGTGAATAGCGGCATAGTTTGTTAAACCTATACATGGTTCATATATAGTATAATTAATTATCCAAAATTTACCGGAGAGAAGTTAAAATTAGCCTTTTTGCTTTAAGATGTAAATTTAATATTGCCAAGGCAAATATGGTATTACACATATCGACTATTACCGTACGTGTCTGCGCTTAACGTGTACGAGCACGTATATTAAAGAATAAGTGCATTTATTTACTTACTTAGGTAGGTACCCGCTCGCAGTGCGAGCGATTAGACCAATAAAATCTATGCTAAATTAATAGTTATACAAGTGTATCCGTGTACCCCCTCCTTCCTCGCAAGCGTAGCGTGCGTAAAAATTTGTAATTAATTATAATTACCAGTAAAGTATCATGCCGCTCCCTTAACAGTGATGCTAAACGGCAGATAATTTAAAGAACTAGCAGAACGATACGTCACCGCGTTTTATCTGTTGAAGCATATTTACAACTACGATTGCAAATAATTACACAACTGTGTCATTAAAAAAGCAGTATACGTACGAGTATATACTCATATATTTGTCAAAACTGGTATAATCGATAACATAATCGCTAAATGTTAGATGCAAAGAAGAAAGATTTAACTGTAATCCCTCTGCGAAACAGAAAAATGATAGATACAGAAAGTTATCATATCATCTATGCAGCTACATCAAAAAAAATCTTAGTTAAAGTAATTATTCCGTACTTAATCTATATGTCACGGCAATGTAAAAAACTCTAATATTGTATTGACCCACATATATATGAAAAAATAGTAGCCATTGAAAGTTAATCATTTGCTGTACTTCCTATACCATAATTTAGGCTACTAGATAACACTAGTTGTAGCATACATTTCTAAAACTGTCGTAAATAATGTTGTGAGAGCGACACTTCCCTAGTTTACCCTTTCAAATGTTCGTTAACAAATGCTCCTGTAAGAATATCTCTCCTATCATTAGAATCTTCCATTATGCGATTTGCTTGCAAAATTAACAATCTATAGCCATGGCTATTCTTGATATAGTAGGTTGCACAATAAACAATATCACTGTAATTGCAAGGAATTAAACTTAATTAATGAGCAGGATTTGCTGTTATTTTATCTTGACTTATTAGATGCTGCTCTCCTGTTGAATATGCATAACTGTTATCAATTTAAGCGAATAGATCATATACACATAGTCTGTAATACTGTGCTATTCGCGGTAATTTAACATTGTCTTACTACTTATGGTTTTGTTACCATTTTCTATTGGTCGACTATATCTGATTCTACTGTTAGTAACTCATTAAATCTGTCAATTTATGTTGGTATCATATGAAATTTATTATTTTGCTCCACTGCAGGTTATCATAACTTGTGAACGGCGTTACCGCATAGCAATCAATTGAGCGAGTAATGCTACAGTATTTATGAATAAATTGTTGTGTTGATATACTAATTACGCTATCGGTGTTAGTCATTGTACATAGTTCTTAAAACTTTATTTCGAACTGTATAATTAACGCATAACTAATAAGTTATCCTGAGATAAATATGAATTACACATCCTAACCTTTTAGCAAAACCCTACTAAAATTATGTTATCTATAAAAGTACGTCCATGGGGTAAATGTTGCTAGATATCATTTTCAACGCTTGCCGTGCGTCATTTATTGCAGTCAAAAAAACTGAAATAACGAGATAGCATGCTGTTATGTCCAACTACCAATGCTATACATCGCAATACTTTGTAGTATAGATATTTATAATTTTTTCTTTAGCCTCTGATCCGTAGCTACATAACTTCAGTAGAAAAATCCTCGTCAAGATCAAATTTACAAAACATCCTAGTATTGTACCGAAATCGTACGACTAAAACTGATTCCTATATACTATAATTCCTAAATATAAAATTTCGCAGAGAATGTAAGACAATAACAACGTTCATCAATATAGACGTATTGAGGAATTTTATGTACAACATTATGATATAATTTTATTGTTATCGTTTAATTTTCTATAGATAAGTCAGTGGTAGTACATTTCTATCTCAGGAACGTCTCAAGCTATAGTAATAGTGCTTCTAATAAGGAAAACAATACATGTGGTTAACTTAATAAGTTATTCAATATGTTCATACGATAACATTTATAAAAGCGATACCTTAACTGAGCTTAGAATATCATACAGTAAGCTGATTTTGTACTTTATTAGAACTACGAATAATTCACCTGACATTTAGTTTTAATTGTACAGAAAAATTTAATATTTGTGAAAGTAAAAGTCAATACTTCTGATGAGTACGTAATCCAGCGCAGCCTCAACATCCACTAAATCTAAAAACCGGATAAACAGTTGTTGGACACTTTATGAAGCTAGGCTATCTTCGATTGTTGTTTAAGTTAAAAGTTCTACATAAAATTTTATTTCACATCTTCAATAACTCATATATTTCTATTGTAGATGACATACGCGTATACAATATTACTATTTCCTGGATTTATCCAGTCTCGCAGAACTTCGTCTCCTTGTAATAATTCCTCTAGCTTGACTACCACTAATTACGTTAGCGTTATTAATCAATCGTTGCAAACGCTTCCGACCCGTTCTTCTTTTAGTCCTTGAATCAGTGATCTTGGACTGCTTTCGTGATCTATTACCTTTAATAGCGTCAGATTGATTGCTTATACATTGATTTACGCATTCGTCGTTCTGCCTATTAGAATTTAATTTGTAAATTTTAGTATCTGCCATCTTGTTGTAAAACAATATACAGAAGTCAACCTCTATTTTTACCGTTGCACTGATAAATTTCTTCCAGTCTCAGATGCCGTAATGATATCGTCTTCTTCGTCGGAATTTGAGCTGCTGAGTGATGGAGATGAAATGGAGCTGATATCATCATTGAATGAAGACAAGTCACTCGTATGAACCGAACTAATTTGCTCTGAAATACCAGAAAGAGAATTATCTGATTCTCTTTCACTACCGCTCTCTGAATTTTTAATTTCAGAATATGTACTTTGCGCTATATACCCATCTAATCCACAATTGAATGCAGCTTTATTCCTAATGTTCATATCTACAAGTATGCCTGTTTTGTCCAATTTTGAAGTCTGCGATAAATTTAATACCATATCTTCGGTATGAGGTGTTTCTGTAACATGATTAGAATAGCCGTCCTGAACTAAATCACGTTTATCAGTTGTTACTAAAGCAGCCGTCAAGTCATGAGGTACTTTAGCCGAGCTGTGACGCTTCTCTACGATATTATTTGAAGGTGTATCATCATTAAAATAGGTATCATGCAATACTCGTATATCCGATTTCATATCAATTCCAATCCGTGAAGTATTTTCCACAAATGACGGTATCTGTTTAGCACTTGGAATTATACTAACATTTACGTCCTTGTCCAAAGGGGTACCCTTAGTCACTTTAAACATAGTAGAGCTCTCTTTATCTAAAGAATTTTCCACAACGCAGTTCGCGTTTTCAGCAGAATTTCCCACAGGAGGCGTAATGCATTCTGAGCATGGTTTTATAGCACTCTTAAAATTCTCCACAGACCTTTGTACACCAAGTCTAAAACTATTCTCCGAAACGATGTTCTTAGCAGCTCCAGCAGTGTTTTTAACAAGAACTTTATTTTCCGTTGAAACTTTTATAGTATTCCTAATCGCTTCCGAGGAATTCCTGCTAATCATTCTAGAATCTTCTATGGAATGTTTTAAAATCGTTTTATTGCTATCAATTTGACTTCTTGGGTTACTTTTATTACCTTCCTGAAGACTTTTTGTAGCAACTGCTACACTATTTTGATCGCTAGCGGAGATAATACTTGATGAAGTACCGTTATTAAATAATGCCGTCCTGGCAGTCTGCTCCAATTGGATCTTGCTGTACTGAGCCTGGCTTAGTAAAGTTACTTCATCATTCGCTAAATTCTTTATCGAATTTACAGGACTACAGGTTTCTTGCTCCTTTTTTTCAAGTAATTTTTTTCGCTCTTCTTCTTTATTTATGTAATCTCTAACCACATCCTCGATCCGTGATCGAAAATTTTCTATTCTTGATCTTAAATTCAATGAAATAATGCTATCCAATGTTGCTTTGACTTTGTTCGATCTACAGTTGCCAAAATATTCAAAATAATGTCAACTACTATATCAAACTAATGCGTCGTAGATAATCCATTTTGCTTAATTTATTTGACCATGAAAGCTTTAGCTTTTAAGCACGGTAGAACTAGATATTAGTCTAACTATAGGTACTAACAGTACATTACTTTTAATATATCGCACTATAGTTCTGACACTACGGAAGTTTTAGCAACTCGGTTGTCGAGCTGAAGTAATAACATACTACAGCAAACATAAGATATGAGCTCTTGAATGGCAGTACCTATCCACTTGTTGTCGTAAATCGTTTCTGTGCTTGTTCTTGTTACTAGATTCAGTCCATCTTTCGTTAAGTAGCCAATCGTTGACATATTCTTGTACAAAGTGTTCCAATTGACGATATTTATCCTGTTATGCCATAAAGTTAGATATAAAAAGTTGCTTTCACATCTTCATATTTATAACAGTTGGTAGCCATGGCTTAGCACGCTAGTAGTAGTCTCCGGGTAGTACGTAGTTATTTTTCAAATGTTAACTATTTACCTTAAACACAGTTACTACAAAGATTCGCTTTACTGTACTGTACAGTACAGTAATACGAGTACGTTTAAACGCAACAACTAATACAGTACTAATCTATGTACTAGCGAATAAACAACAAATGAATACACTGTAGAATATTACATAACTGCAACCGAATTTATCGCATGAACAAGAATAGCATATCACCTTCATAAATAGCAGCTATAAGTTCATGACAGCTATGGGATTAAATTCTGTAATTATATTATTAACAATGCACAGCGAAGATGTACCAAATATATAATACCCTATACTATACGATGTAATATTGCACGTACTGTATACTAGAGTAATAGATATGGTTGATCGAGAACTTCACTTAACCAATACAATACTGTAATTACTCTGCATAAAGTTTTGGATTCAGACCCTTTATATTTTAATTTTATATAAAGGTAGTTGCCCCCATAACATAAATTAAGTTTGATTTTAAGATTTAAGATTTACGAAGGCGTAGAACCATAAATTTGTGCTGTACCTTGCAAGTGTACAGTATATATATATATATATATATACTGTATCAGTCATGTCAATTTTTACTGACTTACCATTTGAGTTATATCACCATTGCAATCCCTTCTAAACTGATCAAAAACCCCCTCAGATTTGACAAACGCTGTGATTTTAGTAACGATCGGAGTCACATCAATATTTGGTTTCATGTTCGAAGGTTTAAACTTTAAAATATCAATAAATGCTCTTTAACTGTGGATACAGTGCAGTCATCGCAGTTTAACTTAAAGAACGATCTTTTTCTCCGTCTACACGGGCATACAGTACTGTACCGGGCAAGGGCAAAGCTAGTTCGTACTGTACACTGTACACTGTACAGTATGCTGAAACGTCTCACAATACCGTACTGTACTGTACTGTACAGTATGAAGGGTCTAACGTACAGTACAGTACAGTACAGTAAATACTGTAGTAGAGTACACGAAAACTAAATATTGGTGTTGAGATACTAGTGAACGTACAGTACAGTACGGTACTGTACTGTACTGTACAGTACTACTGTAAGTTAGAATGCCCACGAGTCTCCATTCTGTACAGTACAGTGTACACTGTACTGTACAGTACAGTATTATACCAGTGCTTAGTTAATCTACCAAATTCTTGACAATAAGAGATCAGTACTTACAGTATATACCCTTCTTAGGTTTACTGTACAGTACATACTCGCTTTTCTATATGTACAGTACTGTACAGTATATTGCAAGCTTTTTTATTTGATTTTGCGAAGGTTTGTACAGAGCAACATGCAGAATGATGAGGTGAGGTTACAGTTGCACAAAATAATACTGTATTGCTATTGATTAGTTATAATTATAATTATTGTTAAAATGTACAGTATTCAGATTTGGAGCCGCAGTAATATGTTAATTTGTCATATTCAGTAAAGACCTAAGGTTATTCGTATTTTCTTATACTTTAAATAGGTGATATGGAGCGTTATCAATAACGGATTCTGTTCATTTAAAGCAAAGTAAATGTCCAATGATATTCAGTAACAGCCAGTAATTATTTATAAGTAACAAGAACGTGTTTATGCAGATTTTCTTGAATAATATAATTTAAGTTGAATGCTAATTAATCAGTTATCATTTTAAGCTAAATGTAATTCGACGGAATGTAAATGTGCTATGAATATACAGTACGAATGTTGAGATCTTAGGAGTGAGCGCATGTTCATATTTTAGGACAAAGGCGCAGAGTTTCTGTCGTAATGAATATAATGTAACTGGATTATGTAATAGACAATCATGCCCATTAGCGAACAGCCGATACGCCACTGTCAAGGAGTTAAACGGTAATTAACAAAGTCTGATTTTGTATAGTCCGTTAAGAATGTTTAGTTATCATTTCATAAATCAAGTATATATATATATATATTTGCATTTGTATATTAGTAATTAATTAGATTGGACGCGTCTAATGTTGGTTATTAAGCATCTTCCATTTGTACTATAATATATTACTATAATTTAACGTTTATAGCATAAAAATGCAAAGCAGGTCTCCTCAACATAAATTTTCTGCCCTTTGTACTTAAAAGAACTATACTGCAGCTCAAGTAGAGTTTTGTCGCTAGATTTCTTGACTCGATTGTTTTGTTGCTATGTAGACTTATACTACAACAGTAGCTTATGAAGGCATCTCTGGGCTAGCTAGCTAGCTAACTAGGAGACTGTCACACAAATTGTAAATTTACGATTGTTCTTCTATATAGGCAATTGCTTTTTATATATAAAAACTATTGAGCGAGCTCATTCACCAGCTAAACTGTGGGAAAAAATAAAGCTACCAAAAAACTATGAGAAAGCTCTAAATGTGGTACAAGAATTTCTATTGTTGCGATGTTATATTATGTGATAGCTCAAAATTATAATTCAATATGTTGGTGCTGTTATCAGATTGATAAAAATTTGATGTATTGGCCAAATTTTTCGATTCATAAGTGCAAGCAACGGTTTACAAAAATTACCCAGGTATGTGACTTTGATTTTGGTGCTTAGTATGTCAGGAAGGTCATTATTGTAATTAATAAAGTGGATAGTGAAATATATACTTTCTTTTATTGAATAGTATCTTATCAAAATGAGAAAACTGAAGTTAAAAACAAAGTAAGAAAAAAATTTGCATCACTCCTTATTTCGGTATAGCACAATTTCTATATTCACATTGACGAATAAAAGATAATCACAAACTTACAATGTATATGTAGCCAGAAAGTGTTAGTGGGCATCAGTAAGAAGGCTGAAAACGTGAACAAAAAGCGAGAGGTTATCAAAATCTTTAAGACTCTGTGAAATCTTGAAATATATAAACAGTTAAGAATGTGTGTTGTTTAGGAGAAAGCCTTGATTGCTGCACGAATTGAGAATGCGGTTGAAAATGAATTACTAGAAAGGTTACAAAAAGGAACAGTAAGTGATTCAGAGTGTGATGTTGATGATACCCCTGTCTTACCTTTTTCTTCAAGTTTTAATACTGTATTTTTCGCTTTGATACTAGTATGCAGAAATATATAACTTTCCTGAGAAAGCTTTCGAAAGTGCTCTTAATAGTGAGGAGATGGACATAAGGGAAGAGGATAAGGTTATTTTTATCCTTGAAAGATATATTTATGATTTATATTTTCTTTATAAAAGCTATCTTAGACTCGTTTTTTTTGCTTATGTTTTGTTCTTTATCCCTTTATCAGCTAAAAGAAATAGAAAGTGACGACGAAGTAGAAGTAAAATACTATCTTAAGATCTTAATATATACTCACAAAGTATTTGTTTCTTATCTGCTATCGCCTTAAATACCTCTAGGAAATTGAATTTATAGCTGACGATGACATAGATGAGTATAATATCAGTGATATCGAAGAATTTGATCAAATATTGCCTGCAGATACCGAGGCTAGGCAAAACGTTTCGAGGTTATTACCAAAATCAAATATCGAATTTGAGCATGAAAGAGAATTTATGTCAAAAAAGCGATTGCTGGAATCCCACGAAAATGACTCCCCAAGATAATTTTTTATCACATATTTTTGACAGCTGACTCAGTCTGTAGCATATGGACTTGTTTTTGATATCTGAAAAATAAATAGCAGACTTACTAACTTGCTTGCTTATAAATATACTTATATTATAAATTCGCAGCAATGCTACAGTGCTATCTAGTATTAACATTAATAAATTATCTACATACTTTTATTTTACTACTCTTAAATCCTGCCTTGTTTAATTAATTAAAAATTTTATAAAGAGTTACAATTCTTACGTTGCAGCTGAAATTGAACCCATATTATAGATATGCGGTATGAGGACTCATAATTAATTGCTGGAAATGTAGATTCAATAACACTGCTTTTGTGCACGATATGCTACACTACTTACTCTAGAATAACTTAGCAAGATTTCTCCCTTTGTAGTTTACCACCTAGGGGAGATAAGCCAATAAAGATCAACATTTTTAGCCGATTTAGTTAGATAGAAATGATGGTATATTAAAACCATGAAGCGCCAATATCGCTAGTCCTCTTTTGACTTGAGATACTGCCAATTTACTGTCGGAACGTCGTTGAAGTTTCTTTGACCTAAATCACACGGGTCACTGTACTAGACCAAATTACAGAACATAAAATAAAATTTAATGTATGAATAACGGACTGTTTTGAAATCCTAATTGTCCGATATCACGAATGTATGATACCTTCGTATCTGCGATTTTTAAACGGAAGGACCTCTTAATAATGAATACGATACTGATCACCGTTGTATTGAAAGTATTACTTCGAAATGAGATTGTGACAATAAATAGTGTATGTCATACGTTTGAAGTGGTAACTATAAATTTCCGACGCTTGATGTAAGGTATCTGAGCTGTATCTAATTACACCTGCGATTTTTATTATTTTTTACATGTCTATTCGTGTACAGGTGTAGGTGATAAATTAGAATTTTAATACAAAATTACATCAGATGAAATTTACATTGAAATTTCCTGTACTCTTTATCTCAAATTCAAAGTTATTAAGACACTGAATCCTTAGTAGATGCAAAATTTTAGCATTATCCTTTAAATAGTACCAGAGCTCTTGATTAATTTCAAGAATGTTTAGCGGAGCACAAAGCAATGACCTTTGTATACGATTTTAAGGTTAAAAACTGCTGAATGGACATATTCAATGTGCGCAGTGATAGTAACACTATATATCCCATCTGATGAGCTCTACGCAAGTACTGATGTAGTATTTATATCTGTCCAATTTACTGTGGAACAGTAAGATCATTAAAACGCTAGGATAAGTCAATGACAAACATTGGCATTGTTATGTTCAGTTTATTTCCATATTAGGGATTATTACTGGTTGTGTTTACCATTTTAGGGATAATTACTGTCGTGAGATTATATTTTAAAACCTACTAGTCCAAACTCCCGTCGCTTTGCTGACGGTTTACGATAATGTACCCATTTATTAATAATTAACAGATAGTATTACCATTCGACATCATATATATCCCGGTCATAGCCGGGTACTACTATATTTAAAACAGATTGATTTCATGTACGTACTGATCGTACATTTCCACGTTGTTCACTTCGCTTTCGCCTATCAGATCGCTGACTAACTGACATTATCCTCTTAGAAACACTTTTTGTTATATGATATATAGCAATCAAAAATAACCGGGACAGGGGAACTACAGTAGGGTAACACTACGAAATGCATGAGAGCAATAGAGCTAATAGTACCTACTGATGTGTATCAATCACTTATACCTTCTCAATAATATTTACATAAACCCTACAGATCATTCATTTCTATACCAATTCAAATTTCCTAGTAACTTTCGTATTAGTATGTTTACCGAATAAGGATGGTTACTATATACAGTATTAATGCTATGTTAAGGTTGGTAAGCGAAACTGTCAAATATAAGTTTATGCTCTATTTGTTAATAAAATTAACAGATAGTATTATCATTCGATATTATATATCCCGCTAATAGTAATGTACTATGCTATATTAAGATTAGTTAATAATCCAAAGCGCATTATGATAACTAATGTACGGTGATGGACATACCAAGTTAAGATTAGCAGGTACTGTAAGATATCTACAGTGCGGTACAATGTCCTTAGTGCTGTGGTGAATACTATACCAATCATTATAATGTGTCTAAGGATCGATTGAGTATGCAAGCAAAGCTTGCTCTGTCGATAACAACCGTCATAAGAAAATGTAACAATCAAAATAACTGTGTAGAAAACTCTATAAAGATTCTATGTTTATTCAATTTTCATCAGAGCATTACCTCAAATCAAAATTTAAAGGCCCAGTGGCCACCCTTAACGATATAACGAATACTATTTTAATAATCAGTACTCTGTAGAAATTACTACCTTAGAGCTATTCGTTTTACATGAAGAAATCTTGAGGTAAAAAGTACTGTAAGAATCTTATACTGACCTATTGAAATGAACCCATAATCAGAGTCATCTAACAGTAGCATAAATACCCCCCGCGCTGCTCGTGGGATTTACTGTTGTCGTGGTTTTATTAACTTACCTTACAAATATAGAGTATTGATGTATTAACTGTAATGATATAAAAAGGAGATACGATAGAGGAAAGGGAGACTTCTGCTTATATTAAATTTGAATAAGTCATTAAGTTGCTCGTTGGTAATTTGCTATTTGTGGCCACTCGTTGGTAACGTGAAAGTAAAGGAGATCTTTTTAAGTTTAACTTGCAGTCGTGACAGGCATGATATAGTTTATACGCTTAATTACACCTAAAATAACTATGGCTAATTAATTATCACATAGGAATAATTTAGGCGTAATAACAATTATTACTAATGCATAAACTATAATTTGTCAATACAAATACTTCATATGACGTAATTAGACTTCCTGAAATCAAGATCGAAGATGAAAAAGCCGTGTACTAAGTAGAAGAATGTTATCACTAAAACAAAATAAAATGCTGATCAGGAGTAGATTTGTATCAGTAATCAAATATGTATAATAGACAGTTCTCACACGATTTAGACAATTAATAATAATAACCATTGATGGTTTTAAAGAAAGATTGCCGAGGCAGATATATAGTTGTGAATACACATGAAGATAATTCAACTACAATCCATATGTATTAAAACGCTCTCTTTTTATTTTATACTCTTACCGAATAACTACTAAGCAAGCTAACAGGTTAAGTTTACATTGATAAATCAGTAACACTTTCGAAGAGCATCAAATTCTATCAGCAAACTTAATAACCCCACCGATTATGATTATCACGTAATCTTAACATGTACAGCAAAACCAGAACATTACGGCTAAATACGTAGTCACCAATCCAGCATTCATCACAGTATCTTAGAAAGCCACAACACGCATACATTTGGTATATTGGTACATAGCAATTTGATTATATTATAAATATATTATTTACTCGATTTAAAATATATGATCTTGCATCATCTATGCTGGCTAAGTTTGGCTGCTGCGTTTTTTTCTTTTTATCATGTACGATCCTTGGGTTGCGTAACCATTAGTGACCATGCGCCATGTCAACCCGAGCACTATTTTCTCTTAGTCATACGGTAGATGCAATAGAATCCAAAGATAGTTCCGTAGGTAGCAAGAACGATCTACAAGCAGAATATTAAGAATCTTGAAATCTGCCATAGTTACATATGCGTAATTCATTTATACTCGTATGCACACGTTTACTATAAATTGATCAAGCAACATAAGCTATTACTAGCCTACTGAGAAGTTCAATACACGAATATTATTAACTTTATTTCTATAGCTTCGATATATTTCGAATTAACTAGTAGTAAGTTAAAGATCATTACCATTTACTTTTCTATATCTTGATATAAACTTTCCGCAGAACAAAATTTAAATGATCTAATAAAGTGAGACACTTACCGTAAAACTCCAGTCATGAACAGAGCAGATGAACTACAGTATATAATAACACTATTTCGAACTTTCTAAGCGATGTCAGACTTTAATTTCAGAATTACTACTTTACTACGGTGTAAAAGTATAAAACAGTGTAACCTTTAGCTAGTAACCCTAACCGAACCCTATTGCACGTTTATGTTCAAAAACAATCGAGTATTACCATATAAATGAGCTCGGTATGTACAAATTTTGCGGTAGCACAGTACAGTAACGTGACAACGTAAATGAGAATATGAGATGTACCGTACATACAGTACCATACTTACATTTCTTTTACCAGCTATGGTGCTGGAATTAAAATAACGCTGCCAACCTTGAAACTGTTGTGGAGGGCCTGCTTCCGACATAGCACGATATAATAATGATGTCCCAACTCTAAAAAAAATCTTCTAACGTTTGTAAAGTTCTGCACTGCCGTTTGCTGTTAGTGCAGTATAGTTTCGAACCTGTACAGTACAGTACCGTA